GGCCAACTCCTTTTGGGATACGCCATGCATATGGTCGCTATGTTTTTAACGAGTCCGACTTTTCACCCTCCCCAAGCGCCCGCTCAGCAGAGACATCTTTGGGAGGCCACGTCTATCCATGTCTATTTTCACGTAGATCGAGAAGTTGTGGTCTCTCGTAAAGAGGGGGATGGTGAACATTGTTAACCATTTAGCTAGTCGATCTAGCCGATTTCACCTTTGCGCACGTGGCTCACGCTTGGGAAAAATGCCAGAAAAATAATGTGAGGGTGCTCATTTCAAGCTAAGGACGGTTAGAGAATGATATCGACAGTGGATGGGAACCATAATAGGTCGCGATGGAAAATATTGGTTATATATTGGATGTGCAAGAAAAACGAGCAACAGCTGTTATCAAAAGTCGAAGACTCAAACGCGGAGAGAAATCGCCGAGTTCAAAGGAAACCAAAAAGAAGCGGCGTGAACATGCATAAATCAGACTTTGCGGAATGCGCCACGCAGTCTACTCCACTTAGAAATCGTAGTGGTATTTGGAACGTGATCGAGCCCACACATGACGTCGGTTGACCAGCGATGGGAAAGTCTGCTCTCTCTTCATTGACAAGGCAGGCCAGACAAATGACCAACCTGGGAGGTGTAGAACCTTTTGAAACCCGGAAGGCGTATGACTCAGGACCTGATCCCCAGACAGTGCCGTGATCAGCAGCACTACGATTCACGTCATAGAATGCGCTCATGTAAATTAAAAAATGAGACCGAAAATAGGGGAATGAACAGCAAAAAGGAAGAGAAGAAGCGAAAGAAGAAGAGGAAAGAAAGAGAGTGTGCTGCTAGTTTTATGTATCAAACATATAAGAACAGGAAAGTCGAAAAAAAAAGGTAGAAAAAGGAAGAAATAGAAAGAAAATAATAAAAAAAATCAATATAAAACATAATATACTGATATAAAACATTCGCAAGGCGAACTGGGGCCAAAACAGCAGCTAACAAACAAAAGAAGTCGAAAAAATGGGACAAATAAAATAACTGGAAAATTATTAATAAAAGTTTAAAAAATAAGAGAAGTAGCACTGGCCAATGAAGCTAAAAGATTGGACAGCCTGGGTATGACGTGGATCAAGGAACGTTCGGCAGGAAGGAAACGCCGAAGATTTCGTGGCAAGAAAAGACATTAATGGCTGAAAAATTCTTCGAAAATCTCCTCAAGCCTGTCCTGGATGGAGCTGTAAGGGATGCGCCACGTCATCCCCTCGCTGGAGGCGAGCCCAGGATTAAAGTGCATGATGATACACTGCTGGAGTGATTACTGAGCAAACAAACGAACCTAAGGTTGGAAGGAAGCTTGATCTGACGGAGTGATGCTTAAATTGAGGCCTTCCACTTGTTTTTTAAGGCGGGTTTTTCCGGGGACCCGGTTTGATGGGGGTATGAGCAGCAGCGATCAAAGAAGGCAAAATACGCGAGAGAGCACGTCGTTTGAGAGAGCACGCTGATCTCTACATCAATGCACGCTGATCTCACCATCTCTCGCGGTGGGTGGGAAGCGTTGCAACGGGGGTCGATGGTTGCAGGCCCGTAAGGATTAGCGCCCTAACCGCGCAATTTTGCGACGAAGCTGGAGTGATCTAGGTAGGTACGGACCTTACAATTTCCCTCGCGGTATCCCTCCCACAAGTCGGGCTAATCCCGAGGTTTGCCTTCAATATCGGAGATCTATTTGAACGTGGGTTTTGTTTATGCAATGAGTTTCAGGACCTCGTGATGAAATCATTCAGATATCAAAAAATTCTTCGACAGCATCGATGGTGTTACGTGCAATTTGCTGAGACCCACGAGACCCACGAGACCCACGCTTGCACTCGCTAATGCTATCAACAAAAAGTGTTTGACTATGCTTTTCGCACCCTGGGCTTCGAACAACTCGGGGTGCGAACGGGTGTTATTCACGAAGCCTGGCACATGCCAGGAAAATTTGCTCCCAACAGAAAAGAAGAAAAATTATAATGAAAGGAGTGGATATGGAAATATTACCAGAAGAAAAGCAATAAGGGCCAAAAGCAAAATGAGAGAATGGCCTAAGGCGTAGGAAATCTAATGGAGGATGAGAGAAAAAAGGAGTAATGAAGTCTTTCTA